TTCGTCGACGAGGCGGCTTGGATTCTTAAAACGTCGACGGACGTGTACGGACGGACGGACGTACGGATCGATCTAGCGGGAAGTCTAAGCAAGAGATCCGGATCGGTTTAAGTGGCTTTCGATACGATCGCGCAGGCGATCGAGCATGCGGCGTGATAGCTGCGTCTAATGCATCAAAGATCCTGATTAAATTTCGTTTCTCTGCTGTATCAAGCTGTTTTCTGCCTGGCGTGCCGATGAGCGGCCGCCGTAAAAACGACGTCCGTAAAGATATGAACTTCGAACTCACGTGACGGTGCAACAATCTGACCGGAGGGAACGGCGTTGTAAGCGAAGAATAGCGACGCGACGTAAACGTGAAGTGAATTTCACACGAACGCTGGCCGATATTCTATCGCACGTAGCACGTGTAATTCTTCAAGCTCGACACGCGCCCGTTTTTTGCCGATGACGGTGTCCAATTGCCGGACCTCTATCTCAGGAAAGCGAATACTTTTTATTCGGATTTTACTTTCGATCTCTCCGCGAGAGAGACGCGTCGATGCTGCCCCTTAATGGACTAATTATCTCGCCGCATCTCGCCGGTAGATCGGTGCGATGGAGCGCGCGGGAACCCAAGGAGGAGGACACGACGTGGCGAGGGAGCAAAGAGAAAGAGCGCGAGAGAAGGGCGAAGGGGAGAGAGAGAGAGAGAGAGAGAGAGAGAGAGACAGAGAGAGAGAGATGCTTCTCTAGTTACGGTTCTGTCATTATTGTGAATTGCGGCAATGAAACGATGGCGCCCGGCGTGTCCGTCTCGCGTTCGATTCAAACGTCGAGATACAAGAGCCATCCGTCCTGCTTCACCTCTCGCCTCCTCTTCTCCCTCTCTCTCTCTCTCTCTCTCTCTCTCTTCTCTCCCGATCCTCCTTCTCCTCCTCCTCCTCCTCCTCCTCTTCCTCGTCCTGTCCGCTCTCTCTCTCTCTCTCTCTCTCTCTCTCTCTCTCTCTCTCTCTCTCTCTCTCTCTCTCTCTCTCTCTCTCTCTCTCGTCCGCTTCCCACCTTTCTCTCTTCCACTCGCGGCAGAATAGATTCAGCCCGGAATTATTCGCCGCGGCTACTCACTCTTCTCCTCTCTCTCCTCTCTCTCTCTCTCTCTCTCTCTCGCCAGCCCTCTCCGCCCCTGCCTCGCGCGGTTTTATCGCCTCGAGAAATCGACTGCGGACTCGGCACTAAATTACCGGGTGGCACCGTGTACGCGACCGTGATAGACGCGCCAACACCTAACGCCAGTCACGCCGGGCCTCGCCATTGTGACGCGTTATTCAGCGTGGCCAGGCCGCAAAGTGCAGCGACTCTCTGCCTCGGATCACGGCGATTTCGCGAGATCGGCACAGACCGCTAACAGACCGTGCATCGCCCGCATGCGCGCCGGGGATCGTGCATCGAGATCCGAGAGCCGGCGAACGCTTCCAGATCTAGCGCGCTTATCGCGCGCGCGCGCGCGCGCGCCTAATCTAGCGCGCCTCGTTTTCTAGCCGAGCTCGCGTTGCCTCGTCCGAGAGAGAGAGAGAGAGAGAGAGAGAGGTAACCGTACTTATACCGTGCTTATAATTGAACACGCGACACGCGCTTTATTTCCGTCCGAAGGTATAGAACCTTATCCATTCGTCGCCATTCGTCCGAGGCTGCATTCATACTATCCTCCGTCGAGACGTTCTTTCGCGCTTTCGCATCGGAGCATTCAAACGTACTCGCGTCTTAACGATTCCCATTAAAAACAAATGTGACGGAGGATCGACGGGTTCCTGCATGCCGCCGCCGCCGCGGCCGCCGAGCGGATAGACACGCGAAAGCAACGTAACGCGAAAAGCGACTAGATCCGCGCGCTACTTGGAGTTCAGTCCGCGAAGTTCAGACACACACAGCCGAGAGAGGAGCTCACGGCGAGAGCTCGGCGAGAGCGCATTTATGCGGAACCGCGGAACGAAAGGATCACGGCGACGCCGTCACGCGTATCCTCTCGAGCGGAGTCATCTATCAATCATCGCCGCGACAAACAGCGGATATTCCCTAAGTGACCAATAATGATCTCCTCCGCTCGCGGACAGGGACTCGTACATCGAATCGCGCGTAACTGCATAATCCGCGCTCATAAAGTGCGCTGTTACAGCCGCGGGGCACTGCACAATCCTCGCAAGGCGCGCACGGCATTCAACGGCCCCGGTCTCTTGGCGGCGGCGGCGGCGGCGGTCGTTGCGTCACAACGACGCGCCGTCGCATTCCCCGTCGGCCGGCGTCGCGTCGTCTACGGGGCCCAACTTATGCTAACGAGCCCGCGGCCGCGCGCCGATTGCCAGCGATTTAAAAATAAGCGTGACAGGCCGCGGCGAAGGTATTATTAAGCGGCCGGAGCGCTCGCGCGGTCACCCGGTACCTTAATTCCCGGCTACAACGTCGCGATCGACGAGCATCCCCTCGAGGCACCTCGCACGCCCCGCGGGTCAAGGCAAGCCGGGCGTGCGTGCGTGCGTGCGTGCGTGCGTTCTTGGATGCGTGCATGTGCGCGCAGTGGCGGCGGAGCAGGTGGACGATGACGCCGATTCGCGCCAAGTTTTCGCCACCGGGCCTGCCGAGAGGTCGTCGCGAGGGCCGACCTCGATGCGAGCGTGGCTTGCGCCTCTGTGAGAGACAACGTCCGACCGTAGATTCAGCGCACGCTCGCGCGGATTTCACCGCCGAGATATTGTCCTTCGCGAGAAACGAGAACGCGTTATTAGAACGCGGTAGTGGAATATCGTGAGAGATATCCAAAGAGGTTCCGAGCGATGACGCGGAATATTCGCGAGTAATAACTTGTGTACTTTCATATCGCACGGACGATTAAGTTAAACGGACAGGTCAACGACAGTCGAACGCTGTCACGCGCACTGAGCTGTCGCCTAAATCCTGCTGTCGTTATGATGCAAGGTGTTGAGAACGTGATTAGACGCAATTAGGAATTATTTGAGATAAAGCCGAGGTGTCTGATAACGCACCGACCCGTGAAGCCAGAAAATGATTAAAGCGAACTTTCATGCTTACGTAAGAGAATAAAGTGACACACACGTATGTGTGTGTGCACACGCGCGCGCGCAGGAACCACTTACGCCGTATACATTAAACACACCATAAACTCTCCGCTATAAATCATCGCTTATTACCCGCGACTCCTCTCGGCTCTTTGCGTCGCGGAAGATGTGAGAAAATCATCGGCGAATTATATTCCCGATCTCTCCCTCCGAACGTATTAATTCCCCGGGATGACGCGTCAGAGAGAGAGAGAGAGAGAGAGAGAGAGAAAGAGGCAGAGAGATCGCGCGGCGCGTCTGAAGAATCTCGCTGAATTCACGCAAAATCGATCGGGTAGCTTTCAGCGCGCAGACGAGCGCAGGAACCACCGTCGCGCTTCCATTATCTAAACGCCGCGGCCGCGTCGGCGTGGCGTCGAGCCGCATTCTTTCGGAAAGTCCGCGCGACCCTCCCTCGTGCCGAAAGAAAGAACTACGACATAATTGACCGTCGACGATCGACGGTCGCCTGGAGCTTTCATCGCTCGAATCGGATCGTCGATCTCTCTCTCTCTCTCTCTCTCTCTCTCTCTCTCTCTGCCCGACTGTATCTCTCGTACACGTCGCACGATAACGCTAACGTGCGCGCCATTGCAAGCGGCGCGTCCGTGTCGTGTCCGCGACAGGCGGACGTGTACGACGCGTACGAGATTCCACGTGGGGACCTACGTACCACCTACACACGCCGTACACACGCAGCGCGCCGTATAGCAGCCACTTGACAGCTGTCACCTTCCACGCGGCCCCGACAAGACGCGGCGACTCGCCGGGTGATTCATGCGCCACCGGGGGGGCACGAGGATCCGGCGACCTCCTGTCAGGGATTCCTTCGTCGCATATCGCGCGCGGCGAAGGTGACATCGCCGGCCGACGCGAGATTTAATCGCGGACGCCATGGTGCGAGGCTCGGGCTCCACTCGGGACGAACACTGCGACTTTGCGACGTCGACGTCGACGTCGACGGCCGACCGGCCGATTTCGAGGCCGATTCCCGCGTGACCGACGCCGCGATCGGTATGTATTGCTTCTCGCGTGCGGCTTTAATCCCGTCACCGAGGCCGCTGAGACAGAGAGATGACACGAAGAAATTGCGTGGCGGCCGCTGCGCGTTACAACGCGCGTTGGAACAAGCGAGATCCACGTTTCCAATCGGTAACAAACGTGAACTTGAGAGAGCAGAGACGCGCGTAGTGCTTCCAATCATTAGCCCGTAGGCTAATCTAAACCACTGATTTCGAAGACAGACTCGACAGTCGAATCGAAGAAAATAAATATATCGCAATTTTTATCTCCCGAGGCTTCAAGACTTCAAGTGAGGAAACCTCAGGATATGATTCCGTTCGAACGGCATCCCGATTGGTCTACGGCAGAAACCTCTCTCGGTCGTGCGTCATATCGTCAATATCTATTTCACATTTCCAAAACGCGCTCGTTGTAAACCTCCGCGCGAACTCGCGGCATCGCGGATCCGGCATCTGCGACGTAGTCCTGCGCATAAAAATCGCCGCGATCCGATTGACTCGCGCCGTCGTCCGCTTGGCGACGAGGAGTCGCCGTCGGATCGGGGAGAAGGTGAGAGCGTGACCTCGCGCGTTTGCTCGACGTGCGTATGTGCGTACGTGCGTACGTGCGTACGAAGAGAGCCACGACAGCCGGGTCAGGTCGGCGCGAAGAGCGCGGAGACGCTGCTCGTCCTCGTCGGCCGGGCCTTCGTCGGCTAATGGAATTACTTTAACGCAATGACACAGCGATTACGTAATTGCGGGGCTCTCCCCGACCGTGCGCTCTCATTCACCGCGGGCGCGAGAGAAGCCCGGGCCCATTACCACATCCGTGTCCGTCGTCCTGTCTCGCTCGCTCGCCCCTTCTCGTCCTTTCCTCTCTCTCTCTCGCTCTCTCTCTCTCTCTCTCTCTCTCTCTCTCTCTCTCTCTCTCTCGCTCTCTCTCTCGCTCTCTCTCTCTCTCTCTCTCTCGCTCTCTCTCTACCTCTCTCTCGCAGCTATGCCCCTTCTTTCTCTCTGTCTCTCTACCTCTCTCTCTACCTCTCTCTCGCAGCTATGCCCCTTCTTTCTCTCTGTCCCTCTCCTTTTCTTCCTTCGTTCGACGCGAGCACACACTCGTGTCCGACTCGCCGATTATTCTCGGGAGACAAATGACGCGACCGCCAAAGAGTAATGAGCACCAACGAGGCTGCCGCAGCCGGCGAGCGCGCCTCGTCAATGCGTTTCGTGCGTGTCGCTCGTCGTTGCTCTCGCGCGATTTCAGCGCACCTTCGCACGTAGATGCACGTAGGTGCGTACTATCCTCGCTTGCAAGACAGTTTGGACGCAATAATGGGACGAGCGTAGCTCGATTGTCACGATTGAGAGGCTTGCAGCTTCCCCCTCTCTCTCTCTCTCTCTCTCTCTCTCTATCTCTTTCTTTCTCCCTCCCTCTCTCCTCTTCGCGCAAGAATCTTGTCGAATTTCCGCCGCTGCCGGGTATTTCCTGCGTGAACGCTGCCGACAATCGCTGAGCCAGCCAGGGGACGGTTAATTGCTCGTCGTCTTTGTAACACGCACTCGAACGCGCGCGCGAATGATTTGTCGTCGGTCGCCGCGGTTGCGTTAATTAACCACCGCGGCGTCGCATTTTTGATACACCTGTGTGTGATATCGCGCGTATTGTGTTGTCAGGAAAGGTCAGTCGTCCTCTCTTTCTCTATCCCTCGTCCACATTGAATTTCAATTAATTAATATTATCCTCGACTAGTTTGTCGAGGTCGGTTAATTAACCGACAGGACGTTAATTAATTTAACGAGCGCGTTGTTATCGTATCGCGCGTTTGTTTCTTCCCACCGGCGGACGATGCGCAACACAAGCGCGGGTATGAAAAATCGTCAAATAATATGACTGGACACGACACGCGTTCTCGCTCTTCGCGTCTTCGCGTCGTATCCGCGACGGCGATTAAAGGTTAACGAGGTTCGCCAAGCGCGCGCCCCGGGCAAGTCGCGGAGGCCTCAACACGACGATCGGCCGTGTAACCCGCGACGTCGAGTCGCGACGTAATAAGGTCGATAAGGCGGCGACGGCCCCGGACACGAGCGGTCGAAAGCGAAGGATCGTACACGGCTCGGCACTCGTCTTCGGGGACGACAGCGTGTGTCGCGGCGCCGCGTTTACACACGGCGACACCGGAGGAAAGCCGTGGGATCGTCATTGCTAAACTTATCCTTAGCCCCGCGTGAGTCGCCCTCGCTCTCGTACTCTCGTACGCGCTCCTTCCTCCCCCCCCCTCTCCCCGCCCCGGCGTCCCCTCGCCGCCCGGCGGAGCCAGGACGACAGCGCGGCGTTAATCACGCCACGTGGATGGCCGTCGAGCGGCGGCGGCGGCGGCGGCGGCGGCGGACTCGTCGATACATCAACGTCCGTTAAATCCCTCCGGACGTTTGTGTGCGGGGAAAACGCGATTTATATAGGTCGCCAAACTCACCGCTATTCTTCGCTCGCACGGTGCACACAAACCGGTCGTTTCGACGTCGCGGGGAGAGCTTACGGTGCTCGCTCGCGTCACGTTCCAAGTGTCACGCGAGAGAGCGACGCGCGAGAATCCCATTTACCTCCTTCGGTCCGTTTCGGATGTCGACCGATTGATTCCTTCTTCGTGCTCACAGCGCCGCGATAATTGCAGTCTCCTCGAGTGCGGGGCGCATCGTGGGGCATCGCAGATTTACTGCGAAGCGTTTCTCCTTTCGCGCATATTTTAGTGCGTATATTTCGACATCTGTCCGGATAATTCAACCCCTCAGTTTATTCGCGCATCTTGATCTCTTCTTCTTGCTACGCGTGTCATTTCCGTCGGCACGCCCCCCCCCCCGCCCCCACCTGAAAACTGCATCGCTCACGATGATGAAAGATCTTGGAGACGCCCGTTAGGATTCGCTCGAAAACAGTGGGGCGGGTTGGAAATACTCGTGATGAGAGTCCTACGCCGCAGGAACTTCCACGAGGTCGTCTAACGACGACGCTAAAATGTTATCGCCGGCGTGTCTCACCCCCTCGGACGCGACAACGAACGCCCGTCGTCGTCGTTACGCGTCAGGCCGACCCTTCCGCGCGTATCGCTTCTCCCCGGGGTTGCGCCGGGCGTAAAGCTTTAAGCACAGCGTTTCCATCATGCAGCTCGCCGATTAAGACGTCTCGGCGTTAAAAATGCATGCAATTAGCTCGCGGCGCGATGCTAAAACGCCCTTAAAGCCGCTTCTTCCTACCCGCCGAACGGCCGAGCACGCGCTACCCCGTTCCCTCTCGTTGGGTGACAAAGTTACGATCTACCGGGTGTCGTTAATATCAGCGTCCTGGAAGGCGAAGCGGGAGGAGGGCGGCAAGAGATGATCTGCGAGGCACGGACGCCGTAACGCGATTTCGCCATGAGTTACGGTAAGGCGCTCTGCGGGTGTTTTAAATCGATATGCAGACCGGGCGAGCGAGAGAGAGAGAGAGAGAGAGAGAGAGAGAGGGAGGGGGAGAGAGAGAGAGAGAGAGAGAGAGAGAGAGAGAGAAGGAGAGCTGAGCCCGATCGCGCCTAACCTTGGTGTCTGCTCGTTCCTTGTCGACGATAACCATCTAACATTCGCGTTCCGGGAATAGAAGTAATAACCCGAAGTATGGAAAGCCTCGGGCAGAAATCATAGACCGGCCCGATGTCGAGGGGATTCTACCGCGTTTGAGACCGATATCGGCTCGCGAAATGAGGTACTTGACCCGGTACGGCGGCGGCGGCGGCGGCTTCGTCATACCCGCGGCGGTAAATCTACGGTGATTCCGTGCCGAGTCCGGTAGACCCCGCGCTGTCAAGTTCGCGTGTCAAGTGTCGGGCCGATGTGTGCCTATTAATGAAACATGTGATTCCGGAAAAGGCAGGTACACGAGGAATTTACAAATTGCAAAAGAGGGCGAGATGATTATCAGCCGATATGGACAGGATATAGTCCGAGACGAGTCGATTCTACTAGACTCGAGCGTCGTTCCGGCACGACGACGACGACGACGACGAGCGCAGGCGGCGAATCAAAAGCCGACATAATTATTCGCGTATTCCGTTCGAGAGCCCCTTGAAATCTCCGTAGTACACAAAAGTTTCAACTGATCGGAATAAGAATCGGATTCGTCCCACTTCCAGGGCGATAGGGATCTGACCTCAGCCCGCTCGGCTCGATCGGCACTCGACTCGCACTCGCGCGCGACTAGATCGATATGACGACGACGACGACGACGACCGAGTCGTCCACAATGGGTCGGACATGAGAGATTTACGATAACGTCGATTACCCCGCGAGCCCTTCATTCATCATGGTGGGACCGGCGCGACTGTCAAAATCGCTGACGTTACATCGCACGGCGATCACGACGGTGCGTGTCGCGATGCGTACCGCGTCTCGGAGGATAAAGGAGTCCGGTGGTCGTCGAGCGCGACGAAGCCGGTGGGATGTCTCGCGGTCACGCTCCGCCACGAGAGCCCCGTCGTGGATCTTTTCCGATTCAAATTTCGCAACAGTCGACTCAATGATTCGATTTGTTGACGAGATTAACGGCAGCCTTGCTCATCGAATTTCGAGCATTCTTTCGTGCATTCTTTCGGTATTTAAATATGTGCAACTTTAAACTTTCAACATAGTGAGAATATCCCTACATATATCTCTACATATACGTATGTTTTACCAAGTCCAAAGTGTAAATATTTGAATTTAAATGCCATAAAAATGTCCAAAAGTAGAAAAACATGTCGACACATTGGTCACTTTTACCTTCGACACTTTTGCGTAATTACTCGACTTTTTGCCGCAACTGCCGCAAGCTTCGACTTCCAATTAGGCGGGCGACCGGTAAGAGGACCGGTAGGAGACGGTCGCGTTGCGCGAGGCGAGCGCGACCGCGCGGTGCGGAATAATTTATCGGGAAACGCGTCCCGAGCGCGACGTCGCGCTCCTCGTAATTCAGTCTGATAAATAAATGGTATCCCCGTGCCGTCCACTCGCATTCGTCGGCCCGCTCGTTGTCGTGGACCACGGGCTCGTTCGCCGGCTCGTTCGCGTACGACGCGCGTTGACGAAAGCACTCGTAAATGTCTGCCGGCTAACGATACGGCTGCTTCCGAACGACCGTGCGCACTCCCCGATTGCGCGAGCCTCGAAGCCGTCACGTCTAATCGGCTCCGTTGATATTCCGCGCCGTAAATTTCGATACTAACAAGTAAACCTATCCAAGTGTCCCACTCTGATTTTGATGAAATTTTGCATGCGTATAGAGCATCGAAAAGTATATTAGACACGTATTTTTTTATATCGGCCCATAAAGCGTTTTAAGGGTAGAAACCAGCCCTAAAATGTTAATTTGTTCGCTTTTTTGTCCTATACATAAATGCTCAATATTACGAAATGTTTGAAAAAATAATGTTTCCAGAGGGACACATCTCAGCTGTTCTTTTATCACTAAATCCGAATTCATCAGAAAATCTGAGACTTTCAAAGTGGGGGATTTAATATGGCGGATCGATATTTGAAGAATATCATGATTCTTCGTAATTGACGTACATTTATTAATTTTCTGCGATTTACATATTTCAAGGTCTTCAGAGTAAGAAGCAAATCTAGAATCAGATTTTGAAAGTCTCAAATTTTCTGGTGAATTCGGATTTGGTAACGTAAGAACATCTGATGTGTTCCTCTGGAGACATTATTTTTTCAAACATTTCGTAATATTGGGCATTTATGCCCAATATTAGTAATATAGGACAAGAAGCGAAGAAATTGACATTTTAGGGCTGGTCTCTACCCTTAAAACGTTTTATGGGCCGATATAAAAAAATATGTGTCTAATATTTTTCGATGCTCTATACGCATGCAAAATTTCATCAAAATTGGAGTGGTTTACACTTAGGTAGGTTTACTTGCAAGAGCCGCGCGCGCGCACGCGACGGACGGACGGACGGACGGTTCCGTTCTCCTCGGAAGAACATAATAAAGCACATGTATTGAGGAATGTTGTAAAATTTCTGATTGAGAGAATTTACCTAAAATTCTCTCTCTGCTTGAAACGTCTCTTGATATCACGCTGGTGAACAATTTCGTGATGTTTCCAATTTTTTTCAGATAATTTTACTCACATGATCGTTTCGCGAGAAAACTTCGTAAATTTTCCCGTCATTTCCCACCTTTGTCTGCGCCACTGTGCAGCGTCGGTGTTGCTCTCGGAGAGAAGCTCTCGACATGCCGCCGATCATAATTCGAGTCGCGATCAGTCGGAGCTACCTCGACGTAACACAGTTCAAGCCGCAACTCATCGCGCGTCTCTTATTCTTTTTTTACAGCGGCCTTTTTCTCCCTCCGCCTTCCCTCTCTCTCTCTCTCTCTCTCTTTCTCTCTCTCTCTCTCTCTCTCTCTCTCTCTCTCTCTCTCTCTCTCTCTCTCTCTCTCTCTCTCTCTCTGTCCCTCCCTGATGGCGCGGCAGCGACGACGGCGGCGGAGAGAATCGGATGACGCGCGGCGACAAGCGAGCGGATGAAAGAGGACACTGAAAAACATAGAAAGGGCGACAGTAATCGCCTCTGATTATCGAAGCCACCGCCGCAACTCCGTCGACTATCCCCTTTGTGCGCGAGGACCGGTCGGAGGAAGCATCGCTCCGCCGATCACTAGGCACGCCGGATCACTGTTGCCTTCCGTTGAATCGACTCGGAGAACATGTCGTCTCTATTGCGGCAAAAGTGGCCGCAGCGCGATCGCGCCGCGCGAATGCCGTCGTACGCTTAATTTCATCGCGGCGTTCGGCCGCGTCGCCAAGTTTTTGCCGGCGAAGAATCGAGTCGTGGATTCACCGTAGAGCATCTGCCGCCACCGCGATCATGCTTCCGACAATCCTCCGCGCTATGCTTGTCTCGCGCGGATTTCCTTTCATAGTCGTCCGACTATGCGCGCGCGCGCGCGGAAAGTGCGCTAAAACTGCGTCAAGTCGTCCAACCGCGCGCGCTCGGTAACATTATCATAATCGGATTCAGGTGTCAAGACGCGTACGCGAGAAAGTATCTAGTAGCCGCGTCGTAAATTCCGGGCCGCCTCCTTCTTAATGCATGCGTGGAAGCCGATACGCCGCATTGACAGTTTTTGCCCGGTGTCATTATGACGCTCGACGGCACAAAAGACGCGCTCGACGAGCCAGCCGAGCGTGACGTCCGCCGATGAACAGGTACCGAAAGAATCGGACAAGAGAAGATGAAGACGAAGAAGACGAAGAGAAGGGCTTGGGCAAGAGGAGGCAGCGGCGAGCTCGAAAGACGAAGAGCCCAAGGTGACAGAGAGAGAGAGAGAGAGAGAGAGAGAGAGAGAGAGAGAGAGAGAGAGAGAGAGAGAGTGTGTGTGTGTCCAGACTCGAACTCGCGGACCTTATCGATACCTGAGGATCGGTTCTCTCCGCGACATTCCCCCCGCCCGCCCGCTGCCCCTCACCACGCTCCGCCAAATTAATACGCGGAAGGAACACTCGCCTCGGACACTCGGACGACGACGACGACGACGACGACGACGACGACGACGACGAACAGCCGTTCCCAGCCGCTTCTCCAGAAGCGACCGTGCGTGTCCGCTCGACCGCGCTCGAGATCGTCCTGCAGCCAGGATCGATGAAAGTGAAAGGGGGGGCGCGCGCGCTAAGGAGCCGCACGTGCTCGGATTCGTACGCGACGTCCGTTATCCTCGCCGTCCGAAATCCCGGCCAATTTTCACCGCGCTGCTTGCCATATGCTCGCCGGGACCGGATGATGATAATAATGACGTGGCGTCGACACGTTCCTCAGGGAAAGAGGAAAGGATCGTAGAAGCGAATGCTTAATCAGCGATCGTGCGCTGGGATCAAACGAAATTGCTATCGGGCTCTCTCTCTCTCTCTCTCTCTCTCAGATTTTCACTCATTACGAATTGATTTCAGCCGATGAGAGACGTTCGTTCATGGCGACTGCGCCCGTGCGTCGGAATTTCATCTCGACGCTGCACGACGTTGCACTCTGCCCGTGAGCAGAGAGGCGAGCGTGATGGATCGAATTTCGAAATTGCGAGGAATTGCCTTGAGGAATGCGAGTCAATCGCATCCTGAACACCTCGGAAGCTGACGCGCGAGGAGTTGTTCGTTACGTGCAGGAAACGAGAGACGGGGTCGTTTTGTCGCGACTGCGGATCGCAGATCGAGAGATTCGAAAGATTGCATCCTTGAGCGCGAGAGGAGCCCTTGTCCCCGATGCCGACGCAATCAATTTGCGCGCGAATATGCTGATGCGATATCGCCTCGCGCCTCGGCCGGATTTGCGGCGTGGCTGACGGTGCGTGATGCCGCGGAAGACTATAACAGAGAGAGAGAGAGAGAGAGAGAGAGAGAGAGAGAGAAGCCAGGTCGCGTTACGATCGCGCGTTCTTTCGATTTGCCGGATTGAATCGTGATCTCATTACGGCCGGATTTTTGTCGCTCTAAATCATCACTGGCACCGGCGGAGCGCCACTTCGCTGTAGGTCCTCCAGAGGGATTCTCTCGCTGCCGCGATGAGAGCCGCGAATCTCATCCTGCGTCGGTAGAATCGTGACCGGTTTTCTCGCACGGCGCTGGCACCGAACGCGTGTTCTACTCTGACAATCAGCGCGCATTGGTCTAACTTGAGTGAAAAGAAAACAACAATTGAGTGACAAGGAAACAGATGGGAGAAAGAAGAGGATTCATAAGAAAATGTCTCGTGCCGAAACGGACAACGATTCCGCGCGAGGGATGCAGCCGGCCGATGGAATTAATTTCGATCCGACCGCTTTGCACATCGAGGAGTATAACGTCTTTTTCGCTTTCTCACGCATGCCGTCACGAACCCTCCGATTTCTTACCAACCGACCTGATCGTGCAACGGCACGGCGAGGCGCGCAGCATGCATCTCGACGCGACGACGTGATCACGGCAGTCGTTCGCGATTCGCTTTCGCGAATCGCTCGCCCTCCCCGTCCTCGCGCTCCTCGATCGCGGTTCCGTCGTCGTCGTCGTCGTCGTCGTCGTCTTCGGTGAAAAACGGCCAATGTCGTGAGAAGCCAATGAAGCAACCGGTAGTTAGAGCCTCTCCGGTGGTAGTCCGTTAAGGCGCGTAATCGCTTATCGGAGTCATGCGACCGTCGAACTACCAGTTTCCAAGTTTCGCCTAACTGCCGTACGGCGAGGCACGGCAAGGGTGAGAGATCGCGCGGGGTTAAGGGGGAGGTAAAGAAAAAGGGGTGGCGTGTAAGTAGGTAGGCAGGCAGGCAGGCAGGGAAGGAAGCGTACAACGGTAGCGTTATAGAGAGTAACTCGAAAGAGAGGGCAGGAACCAGCCTGTTCCGCTGATGCGCGCGAGGCAGCGAGGAGCGGGGTGAGAGCAGCTTTGATCGTAGCTTTGCAACCGAGTAACACCTTCGGCGTCGCGTGATAGCGGTAATTACTCAAAAATACACGCCCGGCCCTGTGTTCTCGCTTTAGTCTCGGCCAACAAAACGCCTCGCCGATCGGTCATTACGTGCCTATCGTGCGCGTAAACGTCTCTCGGTTTCACCCACTTGCCCGGCTAAACAGCCCGGGCTTTTAGAGGTGTTGGGACTCGGGGTGTTGGACGCGCGGCGTGTCCCGGCCAAGTATAATCGCTCGCGGAGGTTCATTACGGCGGGGGCCGAAGGTCAATTATCCTCTCGCGAGTGAGATATATACGTACGTAGTCGCGAACGAGATATAGACGGTCGTAACGAGACCGAGTCGATACCGCCTAACCGGGAGAGAGAGAGAGAGAGAGAGAGAGAGAAAGAGAAAGAGGAGGGGTGGTTTCTCTAGGTGTTCCTTCCTCTAGTCGTTTCGCGCTGATGACCCGCGCTGAGAAACCGCGCGAGCGCGAGTCGTGTCGAAGTTTTGGTTCCATATGAACCTCGCTGCACTTTCATTATTCCACAATTCAAGATTGAACGCCGCACTGATAGAAAAATACGATTGAATTAACTATAATCTCACTAAATTTTCCTCCTCGACATATTGAAAACGGCGGTAAGAGGTCATTTGGATCGTCACCGACGGGATCTGCAGGATCAATGTGGACTTAAAAAAAATCTCGACTCGAACATGATCGAAGATAGATAATCGGGCTTTTTTCCTACTCGCTCGATCCATCAAGCGGACGAATCTGTGATACCGTTACGTTTAGAAAGTCGCAAAGTAAGAATAACACGGCGGATCGGTTCGCGAGTGTTCGCCGAGGAAGGGAGTCGGGCTGCAACGAGTCGACCGAGCGATCTGCAAATGAAGCGGAGCGAAACGATAAGGGTTATCTGTGTCCGCGACACTTCGGGGTCTCGATAAAAAGACTTCCCGACACTGGTTTTCGCGCGCGCGCTCGTACGGTACGACCGACTGGTCCGTTGCGAAACGGGCTTGTCGCGCGGTGGTGTCGCCGTTAATCGACGGTAAAAACGCGCAGCGGAAAAAGATAAGAGATCACACGCGCGCGCCGCTCGATCGTAAATAAATGCGCCGCGCCGCGCCGCGCGCCGGCCCGCTCGGGAGGAGAGAACACTCGGCGCGATTTATATTTGTCGTCGGCGTTTAATCGGCCGGCCGCGCATTCCTCTGCATTAAAGAGCCGATAAAAAGTGTCCCACTCGACGTGTGCGTGACGACGAGTTCCGCTCGTTTCGCGTTCGGCATCGAGAGACCTTACCTGCCCGCGCGCGCGCGGTATCTATTATAAAGTCGTTACGACACGCGGGCGTGCAGCCGATATCGATATATACGGACGCCGTTGCCGCTCGCGCGGAGAGATATCGATCTGCTCCGTGCACGGCTAGTACACGGCGCGATCCACCGTGGCGAACGTTTATGGCTGGAATCGTGTAATCGCGATTCCGACTGCGCCGCTGAACGATGCAAATTAATCGTTTCGTTATTATCCCACCTAATGGGCTCTATCTTGCCGGGGCTGATTGCCAGCGAGCAAGACGATTGTGCACGGCGGAACACGCCGGGAAATCTTCGCTGTTGCGCAGCTCTGTCCGTGCGATTACGCTCCGCCGTCGCCGCCGCCGCCGCCGCCGCCGCCGCCGCACAGTGGATCGAGCAATGCTAAAATGCGGACATGGGCCAAACATTTTTTTTTTCGAAATATTCATTGTTAATTAACAAATTTAGGTTGTAAATACTACAGAGCAGCTAGAAATGAAAGACCGATTTTCCGAATAGTCTCTTTATTATTCATGTGAAATTCATCACTCAGAATCTTGTGACTCACGATCGGATGAATTTCTTTTCATTTTATTCGTGAAACTTCAAAGCAGTATAGCTCTTCTGTATCTAAATATTTGGACACGAACTTCTGACATATTAATAACATCACTTTTCAATAAAGTGACCGAA